ACCATGAAAAGGAACTAATTTATAAAAATGTTATTTCCCTAAAATGTTGACTTTTACATAATTATTTAGTATATAGTAAATTGGATTATTTTTTTATGAAAAAGTCAAAGGGGAAATGTTTTTTCAAAAAAATATTACAGACATTGAAGACAGGGGATCAGTGATGCTTACCAGCCCCACTTGAAGCAAGGACTTCTCTTTGAGAATTACCTTCTCACGCAATACCTACAGAGCTTTCCTGCTTTCGCCTCATGGAAGATAATGAGGACTTGCTTAATTAAAGGGCCTGTATCAAATTCAGAACACCAAGTGAGCTGTTTAGAACATAACTACACAAGTAACAGATTTCTGACCAATTAAGTGATAAATAAACAGAGGAACAAGAGCCTAAGTGACTCAGTGCTTAAGCACTTGGTTACAAACAGGGAAATAAAGTTCAGTAGTTCAAGCCAGTCTCCTTCAGGGAGAGTAAGATATAGCAGTCTATTTCTTTAAAGATAAATGGCTTTGGTAACTCTAAGGAACACTTCTACTGTTGTTCTATAGGATTACTGTGGGGGCTCTGGTAGCCTAACAGTTAACTAATTGTGCTACCAACCCCAAAACAAGCAGTTTGAATCCACCAGAAGCTCCAAGGGAGAAAGACAAGCAATCTCCTTCTGAGCAATTTTTAGCCTCTGAAGCACCAGCTATTCATTCTAACTCAGTGAATGAGTCAGAAGAGGGAGATCACAGGAACAGGATACAGAATAAGTAAAAGTGAACAGTACAGGGTTACTTTTACAAAAGTTCAAAAAGTAAAAATGAGATCAATATTTAGTAAATATTACTCCTGAAGATGCTAGAAGAAAAAGTCACAGGAACTAAAAGAGATGATTGCTATTCAACCATTTCAGGAGGGAGCATAATATCAAGAGCCAAAAACACTAAAGGAAGAAACCCCAAGTTGAACAAAAGACAATGGCAATAAAAACAAGACTCCAGACGTTGCCTGAATAGAATTGAGATGTTTCAATAAATGGCTGAACTTCTGGACGTGCTCTGCCAAGGAATTTGGAAGGCAGCTACCTGACCAACCAACGAAAGAGATCACTATTTGTGCCCATTCCATAGAAAAGTGATCCACAAGGAGGTAGAGATTATAGAGTAGTATCATTAATACCACACATAGGTAAAATTTTGCTGAAGTAATTAAAAAATTATGAACCAGTACATTGACAGGGAGCTGACTGACACAAATTAACACTGGATTCAGAAGAGGATAAGAAAGAGGGTTATCTAGCTGATGTTAGATGGATCTTGGCTGAAGGCAGAGAATACCAGTAAGATGTTAATGTGTATTTTATTGATTTTGAAAAGACATCAATGTATATGCTTTTGTTGTTGTGTACTGTCAAGTCGGAACTGAGACATAGCTGACCCTCCAGTGGGTTTTCAGAGGCAGTTAATCGCACAGGACACTGTCCATCATTCTCCCAAAGAATAGCTGATGGATTTGATCTGTCCCTAATAGTGTATAGATAACACTGTGAATAAGAATTTCATAACAATAAAGTGTGCTCATCAGAAGCCTGCACCATAGATTAAGAAGTATTCATCTAAACAGCCCAAGATGATGTCATGTGCTTTAAAATCAAGAAAGGTGTGCTTACAGGTTGTGTAGTCTCATAGTCTCACCATACTTAATAAATCTGTACATTGAGAAAACCATCTAAGAACCTGGAATATATGAAAAATGTAGCAATAAGTTGAAGGATGAATTATTAACAACCTGAAATGTGCGGATAGCACATCCTGCTTGTTAATAAAAAAGTGGATTTGAAGAAGTCTTGATGATGGTCAAAGGCAATAGATTCAGATTACACTTCAATATAAAGAAAACAAGTCTCTTCATAATTGGACCAATAAACAGCATCATGATAAATGAAAAAGATAATCAAAACCACCCAACAACAAAATCACTGAGGTTGTCAAGGAGTTAATTTTACTTAGATCCACAATTAATGCCTGTGGAAACAGCAGCTGAAAAATTAAGCACATTGGGAAAATTTCTTGCAAAAGATTATCTCTAAGGTGTTAAAAAGCAAATATGTCACTTTGAAGACTAAGGTGCACCCGGCCTGGATCAAGGTGTTCATGTCTGTAAATAGTGATGTTGGAAAAGAGTACTGAATACACATGTTTTCCCAAAAGAACAAATAGGTCTATGTTGGAGGAAGTGCAACCAGGGGGCTCCTTATAGGCAAGGATGATGAAATCTCTTACGCTTTGGGCACGTTGTCAGTAGAATCCAGGCCTTGGAAACAGGCATCAGGCTGTGATAGGTGGATAGTTGGTAAAGGGAGGAAGCTTTCAATAAGACTGACAGTGGGCTGGAGCTTAAGGATGGTGCAGGATAGGGTATCTTGAGCAAGTTCCAACTTGAATAGAACCTGAGAGGAAACCTTTTAAAATCTTTCTCCTTCATTCCCAACTACTTCATGGATGTATGCTCACCTTCACTAATTAGCACAATATCGTTGCTAAACCAGCAGAAAACATGACAAAATCAGCGAATACAAAAACAGCAGCAGCATAATGTGTTCTTGTAGTGTGAACAGAGGAAGTATCTTTTTTGTGCTTGGGTAATAATGACCATTTTTTTACAAAGAAAATTTTTATTTTATGCTGTTTACTAACAAAATTCGTACATATTGTTTTTCACACTGGATCTTCCCCATTTCCTTTACCCACTCCTCCCGCCATCCAGCAAATTATGTGACCCTATGATTAACCTTCTCTAAGAACTGGTCCCTCCTGGCCACCTGCCCAAAGTATATGAGATGAAGCTTCAAAATCCTAGCCTCTAAGAATAGACTCGGTTTCACCCTCTCCAAGACGGACCTATTTGTTTTCTTGGCAGTCCATGGTATGTTCAAGACTCTTCTCCAGCATTTTTAGTCATTGTCCAGCTCTCCGATAGATAACAAGTAATTGCAAAGACCATGGCCTGTCTCTAGACAGACACTGTTGTTTTTCGGTACTCTGAAGAGGTCTCTGACAGTAGTTTCCCCCAATTCTTGGAATGGTGGAGAGACGGTGTAGGAGAGGAAGACCCCAGATAAGATGGATTGATACAGTTTCTGGCACAATGGGGATAAGTGTGTTGGAATCATTGAGACTGGTTTAGGACTTGACAGGCTTCAGAGCTGCTGTACACAGGGTCACTATGAGTTGCAGGCAACTTGCTGGCACTTAACAACAACAACCATCCCTGTCTATCCTCACCCCTCTGCTCCCTACCCCTTGGATTCTCATACATGTTCTACAATAATGGTCTTACACAGTATTTGTCCTTATAGGATAGGACTGAGTTAGTTCACTTAGCATAATGATCTCCAGTCACTCCCAAGTTTGGTAGGGATTTACAAAATCATTGCTCCTTCGTGCTCCATAGTATTCCATCATATAAATGTACCATAATTTCTCAATCCACTAGATTGTGGTTGGACATCTGGACTGTTTCCATGTTCTTGAGATGGTGAATAATGCTGCTATGAACAATGGTGTACAGGCTTCCATTTATCCCTCAGTTCTCATTTTCTCCGGGCATATTCCAAGCTGTGGAATAGCTGAGTCATATGAAATTTATATTTTCAGCTTTTTGAGGAAATGTCAAACTTTCTTCCAGAGTGGTTGTACCATTTTACAATCCCAGCAACAGTGTACAAGAGTTCTTATCTCACCACATTCTCTCCAACATTTATTACTTGCTGTCTTGTTAAACTTTGCCACTGCTACTGTGGTAAGATGGTATCTCATTATAGTTTTCATTTCCCTCTCACTTATTGCAGTGGTATTGAGCAGTTCTTCATGTGTCCGTTGGACATCCGAATATCACCCTCTGAAAATTCTATGTCTTTTGTCCATTTTGTAATTATGTGATCAATCTTTTTTCTTGTGGAGGCCTTGTAGGATTCTGTTAACTTTTGATATGAGACCCTTGTTTGAAATGGTATTGCCAAATGTTATTTCCCAATCAGTACGTTTCTTCTCACTCGGTTGAAAAAAGTTTTTGATGTGCCCAGGGATTTAATCTTTATAAGGTACCATTCATTAATTTTATCCTCTCCAGGTGACTGTTTTGATAGGAGAGCCCTGGAAAGTTCAAAAAGTAAATCGGGATAGAGTTTTAACCTTGCAGGTATTGTGATACACACTTAGAAATACATGCTTAGAAACCCCGTTTCTGTTGTTATAACTAAGTACAGGAATCTTTTAATTTAAAAAAAATAATTTCTGCTGCAGCAATGCACAAACATTATACATATTTCAGAGTCACCACTTCTGACAGTGTCTGGCAGTCTGCACACTCCCCCTCCCCCAGTGACGCCACTGGAACATTAAGATCCAGATGGGTCAGAACCAACTCCACTACCTAACAAAACCGCCCTTACCTGTCCGGCCTAGGGCTCACAGCGCCCCCATCTCCTCCGCCAGGTACCTACCGGGCCGGCTCCCCCTCCCCCAGGAGGTCGAGGTCCGGGAGCGAGCCTCGCTCGGGCCGGCAGGGGAGGGGCCGAGAGCCAGCGGCAGCCGAGCCCTTGCAGCCTGATTATCACATGACTCCGCGGCGGCGGTAGCCGTGGCAGCAGCCCCGCCGGCTCCGCGGGCTCGGCCGGTGGGCTCAGTTCCGCGGCACGCAGGATCCCGGCGCAGGGGGTGGGGAAGGGACCTGCGGCCGCCCGGCCGCACCCGGAGCGCCCAGCGTCGCCCGGACCGGCCAGTCCGCTCCATGACTCTGGGTTGCGGAAGTGTAGCGGAGGGAGGCGGCGGCGCGGAGCGCGGGAGGTCGGGGCTCGGCCCCCTGCAGCACTGAGCCCAGGAGGCGCGCGCCGCTTGGCCCGGCGGCCCGGCTGCCTGTGCGCCCGCGCCCGCCGCTGCCTGCATGCTCCGCGCGGCGCCGCGCCCGGCCCCCGCCGCCTCCTGCTCGCACAGCCGCTGCCGGGCGCCGGAGTAATATGCTCACTCGAGTGAAATCTGCCGTGGCCAATTTCATGGGCGGCATCATGGCTGGCAGCTCAGGCTCCGAGCACGGTGGCGGCGGCTGCGGAGGCTCGGACCTGCCCCTGCGCTTCCCCTACGGGCGACCTGAGTTCCTGGGGCTGTCTCAGGACGAAGTGGAGTGCAGCGCTGACCACATCGCCCGCCCCATCCTCATCCTCAAGGAGACCCGGAGGCTGCCCTGGGCCACTGGCTACGCAGAGTGAGTGCCGCGACACCATTGTCGCCCCTGCCCTCCTTCAGGCCCTTCCCCGCACTGTTTCCCTCTCCCGGCTTTTCGGCCCCGGGGCTGTTGGGTGGCTGCTGGCATCCAGGCCTCAGCGGGGTCCTTTTTAACTTTGACAAGCCATTTCCTTCTTCGCCCCACTTCCCCTCCCCCCAACCCCTAGGACGCAGCGACTCCAGCCCGGGAGTGGGTGGTGGAGGGGTGGGCAGCCGCGGGACCGTGGGAAAGCTGAGATTGGAGGGGCCTGGGGCTCCAGGCGCTGTGTGAATATTGGAGCAAAGTGGGTAGGACAGCTTTTGCTGAAGTTTGAAACACAGCAGAGAAATCTGGTGTCTGCACCCCCCCGACCTCTGCGCCCCCCGTGCAGAGTTTGAAGGGTAGAGTCTTGGAATAGCTGTCTTTGCGAATATGGGGCGGGTGTCCGGGCCCTGGGGGTGGCAGCGTTCGCGTGCACCGCTGTGTATTTCGGAAGGTCTTTCCCCCCCTGACATCCAGGCTACGAATTCTTTTGCTGCTTTCTTAGCAGGTAGTGAAACTCTGCTTGCTCGTTAACATGCCAATACTATTTCCTGTGATCCTTGGGCAAGAAGGAACTTATTCCAAATGTTTAATGCTGCATCTTTATGGGTAATCAGCTTTGGCGATTAAGCCAGAGTTTAAATGATTTGCAATTTCAAGACCTGACAGCGTTCAATCGACGACCTGGAGTAGAGCAGGAAAAGGAGTGTGGGAGGGAGGGATTTAACGTGCTCCTCTGTTCCGTGGCCACTTATTTCTCCATTGACTATCAATGGCCGTCTTATGAATGGCTAAAATAAGACATCCCCCCCCCCTTGCCGCCTGCTACCTATTATTTCAGTTTTATGAAACAGGGAAGCTCGCAGGATAGGGCCCTGAAGTTCCGATTTCGGGGTTAAGAGTGGCTATGTGAGTACAAATGTGTACACAAAACCCTGATGACTGGGGCACCTGCCTTTTTACTAAACTCGTTTGCTCTGTGAACCTAGCCCTCCCCGATCCGTCCGTGCACGGTCTCGCTCTCTGATTGGTCCTCTCGGGAACCTATCAGCTCTCCTGACGCCTGGGCGCATTGATGCTGACCCTGTTCTGGTGGCCCGGATACCCCAGGGCGTGCAAGCGTGCAAGGCTCCCGACGCTCAGGTTCCGGTGCGGGGACCGCTCCGGAGACTGCGCCTGGTATTCCTACTTCTTCCATCGTTATTTAGTCTCTCATTGTTTAATGGTTCTTTACAGGCTGATAGAGAAAGCATATATAAGTGAAAATTAGGAGCCTGAAAGATAGCAAGGAAACAGATGAGCATGGTGGATGCTAAAGCAGTAAAAATTAACATATAATAAATAGAAGACAAACTGAAGAAAAGAACAAACGTTGGAGAGAAGGAGGTACAAAATAAGCATTGACTTACGAAATAAAACCAAACAAAGCCAAACTAGAGACCTGGGTGAGGAAAGACTTAAAGAAGGAAAAGGTGTCTGCCAAAACACACAAAGCACTGGATGTTAACTGAAATAAAAAACATGGTTTAAACAGCCCATTTAGACCCTTTGCAAGACAAAAAGCATCTTGTAGGCATTCTCCTTTCTGCAGTTAAAACCAGTTGACATCTTACCTGCCAAAAGCCAGATTGTTTAATGGCCTGTTGTATCACATGGGTTTCTCAGGGTCAAGAAGACAGCAAGTAAGTGGTGAAATATTTTTAAGCGAGATGAAGCTGGAGATATAATCACTGGAAATGAAAGTTCTTTTTGCACACAGTAAAGGGAGACAGATAACTGAGAAAGAAAGGGGAACCCCCTTCCCCCCACCCCCAACGCGCTGGGTGCTTATGGGAAGCCTGTGATGTGCCAAAGGTTGTGAAGATTAGGAGGGAATCTGCAATAAAACCTGTTGGGAGAGGTAATCCTACCTCAGTCTCTCTAGAGCTCAATTTCCTGGTCCCTAAGAAGCTTACCATTTTCTAGATCAAATCTCAAAAGCCGAAAATTTCTGTGGAGTCAATCTCAACCGGTGGCACCCTTCCTTCCATTAGTTTTCCAAAACCGTAAATCCTAAGGGGAGGAGACTGCCTATCCTTCTCCCAAGCAGCCACTGATGACTCCATCAATAGGCAGAGGGGTTCATGCCTTTGGGTTAACGACTTACTCTGGCCAGAATGTGAGAAATGTCTCATTTGAAGTCTAGTACACTGCAGAATGCTTTAATCACACTGTAGACTGCTTAAATTGTTTCAGTTATTTATAAAAAACTGTGTATTTGTTAATTTAAGCAAAACCTGCAGCTGTCAAGTTGATTTCCAGTCATGGTGACTGTCCATTAGGTTTCTAGGACTTAAGTCTTAACAGGAGGAGTAGACTTTCATCTTTCTCCATGTGCCTAATGGGTTCAAACTGCCAGCTTCGCAGTTAGCCTCTCAACACTTAACCCACCAGGGCTCTTTAGTTTAAGCAACTGGTATAAATAAAAGTGTAAGCACCCTCCCACTCTAGGACTAGTTACCGATCAATGTTGGATGGTGTAAACTTTCCCAAACCTCTTTGAATGGACTTAAAACCTTATTTCATGTGGTGTCCCCCTCCTGCCACCCAGCTGTCTACTAAGCATGCTGTTCGGAACATTTTCACATAACACATGTGATAAGCATCATTCCAAATCAGGAAGCACAGAATTACCTTGTTCTTTTTAATTGGCTGCATAGTACTAATAATAGCGAACATATTTAGTGCTTATTGGTTAGTGCTTACATGGATTCAAGCACTTGTGTTACACAATTTGATTCTCATCTATAAGGTGACACTACTGTTTCTATTTTATAGATGAGGACACAGAGTCAACACTCAGTTAAGCAGCGTGCCCAGGATCATGTAGTCTCAGCAGAGGCTGTATATAAACTCAGACATTCTGAGCCCACACCATCAAACTGCTTCCCTTCAGTGTATTAAGTTATGGTGCAGCCACATCTACCCAGGATCAGCCACTAAGGTTATCTTGCTACCTCTCCTTACTGTTTCTGTCAGAGGTTATGCTGTACCACTTACCACTTCCTTAAACCTTGAGCTAATTATAGTTTATCTTCCTGCAAAAATGCATCCTGATGATCAGAATGGCCAAAATAGGGAAGAAGAAAGACAAATTGAAACTTGCTATCATCAGAGGATACCACCCTCTGCTACAGGATTTGCATCATCACAGTATTAGTTATCTGTTTTTCACTGCTAACTATCCCGATACTTGATATTTAAAATGAAAAAGATCTCACTAGGATCCAGAAGTCTTGCCCAGGTCTGGAGAACTCCTTTCTAAGAAGGATCAAGTATATGATTGCTAGCACTTGACTATTGGTCAGAGACCTCAGGAATAGTGGGTAAAGAAGGAAGAGGAATGTTCCTTGCCACATGGACCTTTGAGTGTTCACAAAACATGCCAGTTAGTGTCCTCAGAAGAAGCAAGGAGGAAGCCATAAGTGTCTTTGATATCCTAGGCTAGAAGTTACATGTGGTAACCTCACTGTTCTTCCTGCCAGAAACAAGTCACTAAGCCCAGATACTTAAAGGACTAAGCCAGAAGGACCAAGATGTATTGCCAATCTTCGCTCTATTCCTCTAGCTAAATACAGCAAGTGCCATTGTTAAGTCCTTGTCAAGTCAGAACCAACTGATAGCTGATCCTCTGTGGGTTTTCTGAATCTGCAAATCGGGCAGGTGGAGAGTACCCATCTTCTCCTGCAGAGCAGGGGTAGATTTGAACTTCCTGCTTTTGGGTTAACCACTAGGCCACTTAGGGAAGGAGAAGAAAATTCCACTTCTTGTGAGGTATTCAAGTAATTTGGGTACATATTTTAAGATCATCATGATGACTTGTTCATGTTACTTGTCGATTCCCTTAGTTCTATATTTTTATGGATGATAAAAGGAATCATTATCAATAAGCTTGTTGAAGCGTTTTTGGTGTGTGTGGTTTTTTGGGGGGGGAGGGGATTTGATTCAAAATCAAGAAGGGGGTCTGTCAGGGATGCATTTTGTCTCTATACCTTTTCAATCTGTATGCAGAAGAGATCATCCGAGACACTGCACTGTACGAGGAGGAAAGTGGCATCAGGATTGGTGGAAAAACCATCAACAACCTGCGTTATGCGGATGATACAACCCTGCTTGCTGAAACTGAGGAGGACCTGAAGCACTTGATGCAGAAGGTCAAGGACTGCAGTCTTCAATATGGATTGAAGTTCAATATAAAGAAAACAAAGATTCTCACCACGGGGCCAATTGGCAGCATCAGTATGGATGGTGAAGAGATTGAGATAGTTAACAGTTTTAGTTTACTTGGTTCCACAGTCAATGGTAACAGCAGCCAGGAAATCAGGAGATGAATTGCATTGGGAAAGTCAGCTGTGAGGGACCTCTCAAGAATACTGAAGAGCAATGATGTCAAGCTTGAGACTAAGGTGCACCTGATCCAGGCTAGTCTTTGCAATTATGTGCTATTCATCGGAGAGTTGGATAGTGAATAGGGATGCTAGAAAGATAATTGATGCCTTTGAAATGTGTTACTGGAGAAGAGTGTTGAATATACCATGGACTGCTAGGAGAACAAACAGGTTTGTCCTGGAGAGGGTGAATCAGAATGCTCCTTGGAATCAAGGATTCTGAAGCTTTGTCTGACATACTTTGGGCATGTTGCAAGGAAGGACTTGGCCTTGGAGAGGGTCATCATGTTTGGAAGAGTGGAGGGACGGTGCAGGAGAGGAAGACCCTCGATGAGATGGATCAATTCTGTGAGTGGAGTGGTGGGATTGAGTGTGTTTGAGATGGCAAGGTTGGCACAGGATAGAACGGTGTTTAGGGCTCTTGTACATAGGGTCGCTATGAGTTGCAAGCGACTTGATGGCACATAACAACAACAAACAACAACCCTTAGTTACGGAACTCTGGAGGCCTTGTGGTAAGAAGCTGCACTG